CCTCCATGAACATTTGCACAGATTTGGGCCCTGCAGGGAAGCAGACATGTTGGGGTGTATTTTGGGCTCAGATGCCTGGGTTTGGGGCTTGGGTGGCTGGTGTTTGGTTCCATTCACTCATGGGGGTTGGGGGTGGGGATTGGGTAAAAGGGAGGAGCTTGTGAGGGAATAGCCAAGTGGGCGTGGCTGTGGCTGAGTGAGGGAATCTCACCGGGCCTCGCCCGCCCCCTGTAGGCTTCACCATCATCATTGAACCCTTCGACGACAGGACCCCGACCATTGCCAACCCCATCCTGCACTTCAGGTGGGACCCTACCCTGGTGGGGGTATGAAAGCTCCATGGGTCTTGGGGCCCAGCCTGCCTTGCCCTCACTGCCCTCATCTGCTCCCCACAGTTGCATGGATGCCTCACTAGCCATCAAACCAGTGTTTGAGCGCTTCCAGTCTGTCATCATCACATCTGGGGTGAGGACCCTTCCCCTGTCCCTCCCAGTCCCTAGCCCTCCATTGTGGAGCTCCTGGTCCCCGCCTAGTCCTGCTGAGATCCTTTCCACTGTTTCTGCTACAGACACTGTCCCCACTGGACATCTACCCCAAGATCTTGGACTTCCACCCCGTCACCATGGCAACCTTCACCATGACGCTGGCTCGGGTCTGCCTCTGCCCCATGGTGAGTTCTTTCCTCCCTTGGTTTCCTCCACTGCTCAGGCAGGAGAGCTTTACAGCTAAGAGCATGGGTTCTGGAACCAAACAGACCTGAGCTTGATTCTACTACTTCTGCCTGTGGGCACAACTCCCCAAGCCTCTGCTTTCTCATCTGTAAAATGGGAATCCATCCTCTTTGATCTCCCAGGGTCGTTGAGGGGATTTAGAGAGATAATGCATGTAAAACGCTTATGTAGCTCAGGGTTTGGCACAAAGTAGGTGCTTAGTCAACATCTTGGTTAATGTGGCTTTGCCCAGTTCATCATCTATGATCTTGGGTAAATGAGCCTTCCTCTCTGTCTCAGTGCCTCAGTCTCCTCCTCTGTAAAATGGGCTCAAGTGGCCAGCAGCTATCTTTCCCACTGTGAGGAAAGAGATCATCTGAGGATAGGCCCATGTCTGGGCTAAAGTGTTAGCTGCTGGTCAGGATTATGGACAGACTTGGGTTCAATTCTGTCTCTGCCGTTTATTTGCTGTGTGACCTTGGCAGATGACTCACATTCTGAGCCCAGGTCATTTGCGCAATGCAGATAACAGGGTAGCTGAGGTTCATATAACGATATCATGTGTATAAAAAGCTTAGAACAGCACTAGCAGGTGATCGGCACTCACCTTGGGACAGTTGCTGCTACTTCGCTTATTATGACTTCTCTCGCTTGCTCCAGATCATTGGCCGTGGCAATGACCAGGTGGCCATCAGCTCCAAATTTGAGACCCGGGAAGATATTGGTATGCTCTTGTGGGGGTGGTTTCTGTGGGTTCCAAGAGGCAAGGTGTATCAGTCAGATGGGCTGAGTCATGCTACCAAACAAATATCCTCAAATCTCAGTGGCTTAACACACAGAGGTTACTTCTTGCCCATGGTCCATGTCCATCATGGGTTGGTAGGGGCCTGTCTCCTCACTCTCGGAACCACTACCACTGGGAACATCACTGAGGTAGCATGATGTGACAGGAGGGATCATGGTGATAGTGGCCATTTCTGCACTCACTGGCCACTGCAAGTCATGCCTAACTTTAAGGGGTGGAGGGACCATCCTCCTATGGGCCTGAAAGGAGAAGTGGGATACTGTGAACAGCCCTGCATGCAGCCTCAGTGAGGTTTCTGGGAACCCCAAGTTCTAGACTAGGGAGGAGGAGTCAAGCCAGGAGAGAGTTCAACCTCTGACCCCTCATAGCGGTGATCCGGAACTATGGAAACCTCCTGCTGGAGATGTCTGCTGTGGTTCCTGATGGCATCGTGGCCTTCTTCACCAGCTACCAGTACATGGAGAGCACCGTGGCCTCCTGGTATGAGCAGGTACGCCCAGACACCCAGCCACCCACTCCCCATAAAGACCCTGCTCCTCAGCTCTTGGCGCTGTTCCTGTGTCAGCTTCATTCCTCTTGTGTTTTCCATGGTGACATGTATCATACATGACAGAACAGTGTATATAACACATATGAACAGCATATAGAATAAATATTGTACACCTCTGTGCCCTGTCCCCTGACTACATCAGGTTAAAGAACTCAGACATCAGGCAGGATATGGGTGGGAGGGGGGATCGCTCTGTACTCTCTGCCTCTGAATGCAGTGTGGCCCAGCTCTCAGGGGTCAGTTAAAGCAAGCACTTTGTCAGGGTGAGATGAGTGAGCTTGGCTAATCCAAGCATCAGGGAACGGTGGGGTGGGGCAGGGAACTTCATCCCTCAAAGCCAAGACATGGGCCTATCCTGAGATGGGAAAGATGGCTGCTGGCCACTTGAGCCCCACATCCTGAGTGCCTTTTGTGTCCTATTGAAGAAACTTTTGCCTACCCAAGTTCATGAAATAGTCTCCTGTGTTTCCTTCCAGAAGCTTTGTGGTTTTAGCTTTCACATGTATGAGGTGCCGGAAACTCATCTTTGAGTATGGTGTGAGGTAGGGGTCATGCTTCACTTTTTCCCCCGTTTGGACATCCACTTGCTCCAGTACAATTTATTGAAAAGAGCTCTCCCCATTGAATTGCACAGGTGACTTTGTGTGGGAGCATGTGTTCCTGGACCCTCCATTCTGTCCCACTGGTCTGTGTGTCTGTCCTTCCATCAGTATCACACTGTCTCTATTACAGTGTCACATGTAAATCTCAGGGCAGCCTCTGATTGGCTCTTCCTGGCTTACAGTCACCCCCTCTACCAATTGCTGGTGGGGGATGGAGTGTCCTAATTGGCCACCTTGGGCCACATGTCTGTCCTACTTGTCCAGCAGTGATTGGTTCCCCTCCTGGGTCACAAAAGTTTCCCAAAAGAAGTGAGGTTGGACAGTTGCACCCCCTCCCTCCCCAGGTCTCATTCGGACAAGTGGGGCCCAGAGAGATAAATGGTCTCTCACACAGGAGTCCATGGCAGAGTTGGCTTTAACCAGGATGGCCCTGTCCTGAATCCACCTTCTGTCAACCCCAGCCCTGACCTCCCTGGTGTCCTTGCCTAGGGCATTCTCGAAAACATCCAGAGGAACAAACTGCTCTTCATCGAGACTCAAGATGGGGCTGAGACCAGTGTTGCCCTGGAGAAGTACCAGGAGGTGGGTACTGTGGGGAATGCTGAGAGACCAGTGTGGAGAGGGACTGAGGATGCAGCTCTGAGGAGCGACACTGCTTACATCTCAGCCTCCCCTCCCCAGGCCTGTGAGAATGGCCGGGGGGCCATCCTGCTCTCGGTGGCTCGGGGCAAAGTGTCCGAGGGGATCGACTTTGGTAAGTGGACCAGGCTCTCCTCTCCCCGAGCACCTGCATGGAACTCCGTGGAATGCCTGTCCGTCGTGCCGTGTCTACCCCCTCAGGACTGCTCCTCGAAAGCCTGGGCACACAGACGGGTCCTCCCCTCCCTCCGTCTCTGGGGACTTGGCAAGGTCCTTGGAGCACCCCGCTCCCCACTCAGCACCACCTCCCGGGGCACACGAGGCCGTCCCTCGCCAGCTGACCACACTTGGGATTCCTCTCACTCCCCTCCCCTGCCCTGCAGTGCACCACTTTGGGCGGGCTGTCATCATGTTTGGCGTCCCCTACGTCTACACCCAGAGCCGCATTCTCAAGGTGAGCAGCGCCCGGGGTCATGGGGAGTCCTGGAAACAGACTGTGAGGTGGTTAGGGTGTTAGGGCCTCTCTCGGGCCCTCAGCTTGGGACTTGGTGGTTTGTGGAAGGGACTGGGACAGCGAGGGGGCAGGCATTCAGAAAGGGATGGCTCCCTCATTTCCCTTGTCCTCATCCCCTTCATCCTCATCTCCTTGTCCTCCTCATCGGCAGGCACGGCTAGAATACCTGCGGGACCAGTTCCAGATCCGCGAGAATGACTTTCTCACCTTCGATGCCATGCGCCACGCAGCGCAGTGCGTGGGTCGGGCCATCAGAGGCAAGACGGACTACGGCCTCATGATCTTCGCCGACAAGGTGCGAGTCCAGGGGGCTCACTGTGCTCCCCACCCCAGCCTCTGAGAACCAGGATGTTGCCCCATTCTTTTTCCAGATGGGAGGGTCACAGGGGTGGAGGGTGGCCTAGGCTCCTTCAGACCAGTATCTTGGTACCATTTCTTTCCCACCCTCCTGCTCAAAGCGATTTGCCCGAGCAGACAAGCGGGGGAAGCTGCCTCGCTGGATCCAAGAGCACCTCACGGACGCCAACCTCAACCTGACCGTTGACGAGGGGGTCCAGGTCGCCAAGTACTTCCTGAGGCAGATGGCACAGCCTTTCCACCGGGTGAGCCCTGCACTCGCTTCCTTCTCCCCTCCCCGGCTGAGCTCCTCCTCCAGGAAGGTCCCTTGTATTTTTCTTCTGCTCCCCAACCCCAGCCTGACATCCTGCCCTCCTACCCTTGACAAAGAGAGATTTATCGTGCGCCCATGTGCCAGGCTCTGGGAACTGAGGGGAGAATCAAGGGCCACAGATGCCAGCATGTGGCTACAGTAGACACATAGGTGCTTGGGGAGCACAGAGGAGGCAGGGTGATAATCTGAGGTGAGGAGGCGCCAGACATTCTCCAGAAGGGGCTTGTGCTGGCCTCAGAACAGCTGATCCTTCTGTAGCTTGGACACAACTCTCCGGCTGCCGACTCTCTCCCTCTCCTCCTCCCTTGGACCTGTCTTCTGTTTACAGGGACAGCACACTCCTGTCCCATAGGGTTCCTGTCTCTACTGGCCCTGGAGTCTTGACCCATGTCCCCTTCAGGGGCACTGGGGGAAGTACAGCAGCTGTTTCCATCCCCAACCACTGTCTGACACCTCCCTTTTTCTCTGTCCCCTCCAGGAGGATCAGCTGGGCCTGTCTCTGCTCAGCCTCGAGCAGCTGGAATCAGAGGAGATGCTGCGGAGGATAGAGCAGATTGCTCAACAGCTGTGAGCATAGGGTGAGGGCAGGGCCATAAAAGGTGTTCTGGTGACTCCTGAGTCTTGCCTGGCCCTGGCTCCCAGTGGCTCAGAGGGTGCCTCAGGGTAGGAGCTTGTAGGTCCTTGCAGGAAACCTCAGGTGGACATTCCTCATTGCCAAGTCTACAGCCTTTAATCACAGGAGAGGGTGGCAGGAAGCCCAACCCACTGGGTATCCCCCCAGAGGTGGGAGAGTCAAGGAGATGCCCCCACACTCCTCCAGAGAAGCTGTAGCCGGTGTGGTCCAGTTGGCTTTAGCGAGGGCTCAGGTCCTGGGTGCTGGCGCTGAGGGTCCGAGGGGCCTCACTCAGGTGCTGGTTCGGGAACTGGAAATGGGCACAGAGAATGGTTGGGCGGTTGAGGGGCAGGCACGGCCCTGCTCCAGTTGCCACTGTGGCCATCCCCCCGGCCCCACGTATCTCCGTGTCCACCCCCCCCCACCTCCATGTCTAGCCTCGCAGCCAACCTGTCCACCCCACTGCCTCTACCCCAAGGAAAACCCATCCATTCTCCTGTCCTGGAGTCCATTCTAACACCAACCTACCACTTCCTGGCTCCAATGCCAGCCTGACTACCCCCCACCTTCCCTTATCTCGGGGCCCCCACTCCATCCCTGACCCCCTCACCTGAGTTCCAATAGCCCTCGGGCCATCCATGTTCAGTATGTTGAGTGACACGGCTCTCTTCATCCTGCAAAGGAGGGGACAGGGAGGAAACGGATCTGGCTCCCAGTGTGGGGAAGACCTCTCCAGCACTGGGTTTGATCTGTGTGTGTCACAGAGGAGATGGGAGCCACGGAAGGTTCATGAGCTGGAGGCGGGGGAGGGTATGCTGCAGATTCTGCCCATGTCAGGGCTCTTTGCTGACCTGATCCAGCACTCACCCGGCTGTCCCGGCCACCCCCTCGCCTCGGAGACGGGAGACCAGTTTCTCACTTCCTCGCCGGATAGACTCGCGGAGCTTGGAGAATGAGCTGCTCCGACGAAGGGCCTGGGGAGGGTGCCGGAGACACTGGTCAGTTGCCCCTAGCTCATGCAGTCCCCATTCCCACCCCAGGAGCAGAAGCAGAGCTCATCCTTACCTGTTGTTCTGCGTCACCAGCTGTGCCTGTCTTGGGGGCTCCTGAGGGAAGATATGAGGGCCACTGAGGTGGGAACATTGAAAAGCCACCTTAGAGGGAAGGCAGGGGCTGGGGACTCACCGAGAGGGGCAGGCAGGTCCTCCCTGCTGAGGATTTCTTTGTACAGTTCTTCTGCTTGCTGGTATTTGTTCTGTTTCAGGTAGGCTGAGGCCTGCCGGGAGGGCATGTCTTGAGTGTTCTCAACTCAACTCTGGGAGCTTCTCAGGATCCCCAGACCCCCAACACTGCATCCAGTCCCATCTTTTTAAAGTGCAAACCTGGCCATGCCTCCCTGTGCCCTCAGGAGGAAGCCTGGTCTCATCTACTTTGGAGGCCTCACCCTAGAGCAGAATGGGCTTGGAGCTCAGCCTAGGGGACCTAGGGCTGGTGACTTCCTGTCTCAGCCCGTTTCCTACTCCACCTTGGGTGACACAATGTCTGTGCCTCCGTCTCCTCCCTCATAGGGGCATTCTAAGTAATAGATGATACAGGGAAAGTGCTAAGAAGGGGGCTGGCCCTCAGTGAGCTCAATAAATATCTGATGCTGCCCTCTGGTCCAAGCCAGTTGCACCAGCTTCCTCTTTCCTGGAACCGTTCTCTGGCTCTCATGGACTTGGCGTGTTTCCTGATGCTTCCGTGTCCTCTGCTGAGCAAACTGCTCTCTGTTAGGGCCCAGCTGGGAGGCGTGTCGGACGGGACATCTCCACGGGCCCGGCAGAGGCCAGGCTCCAAGCCTCTTGGTGCTCCACCCTCACGGTGACTGGCTTGCACCCCCGGGGTAGGACCCTGTCAGCCAGCCCCGCGCCCCGCAGCGCCTCACCAGGTTGTTCTTGGTCTTGGCCACGTTGGGGTCATGGGGCCCACCCAGGGCCTCATAAATGCTCAGGGCCCGGGCGTAGTGCCGCTCCACATCCTCAAACTTGCCCTGGTTCTGGCAGAGCAGGGCCAGGTTGTTGAGCTGCTTTGCCACATCCGGATGGTCAGCGCCCAAGACCTGGGGGTCAGGGGTCACAAGTCATTGGGGTCATATGAGATTGGTGGGCCTCATGATGTCACTGCCATGATGGGGGTCATGAGTTAGGGATTATAGGATCAAAGTGGAGAGTTATATGAGGTGGGGTGCTGGAGGGCAGAAGCTACACAAACGGATTAATGAAGTCAGAGGTCTTGGTAGTCCAGAAACTCTTGGGGTACAGGGTCAAATGGGCAGATCAAGGCTGAGGGTTGTGCTGGTGGTCACATGGGGTTGGAAGGGCAGGACCAGGTTGGGGGCTTATGAGGTGAGTCAAGAGGAGAGGTCAGTGTTAGAGGCCAAGATCAGGCTGGGAGCTAAGGTCAAAGGTGATGGGTCATGGGATTGGATGATCTGGGCTCAAGTTGGGGGCTCACGATAACAAATGTAAGGGGCACCACAGGATCAGATCCCAGTGCAAACGCTTCAGGATCAATGGGAAGGGTCACGTGGCATCGGGTCATGAGCCACACAGGTTCTGTGGGGGGTGGTACGGGGAGGGACCTTCTCACGGATCTCCAGGGCACGTTGGCACAGGGGCTCTGCCTCCCGGTAACGCCCACGCTTCCCATAGAGGACAGCCAGGTTGTTGAGGGTGGCGGCCACCTGCGGGGGATGGGGGAAGGCACAGGTTAGAGATGAGCAGGCACAGCTCCTCCCTTCCTCCCTGGGGCCCTCACTCACCGCGGGGTGTTCAGGGCCCAGCGTCTGCTCCCGGATCTGCAGGGCATCATGGAGAAGGTCTGTGGCCTCTTTGTACTTGTTTTGGTCCCTATGGGGCAGCCACAGGGATGGAGGGGGGTTGGTCAGGCTGGGGCAGCTGGTGCCAGGCCATGGGCAGGGCTGGTCCCAGCAGGCTCAGGGAGCTGGCGGAACCAACCATGAGTAGCACCTTTCAGGGGCCCCTTTTGGGTCTCCCCATACCTCCAGGTCTCTAGTACTGTGTCCCTGCACCCCCACATCTCTGCCATGCCCCTGGCCACTCCAGTCTCTTCCCCACTGTTGGGGTCTCTGGTGACCACGTTCTCTGACTCTTCTTTGCCAGGGTCTCTGTGACCTCCCCAGATCTCTGTTTCTCTCTCCCTCCCTATTTTCCCATCCTCTCAAGGCAGGATCCCTTCCTCCCTCTCCCATTCTGTCCTCCACTGCCACCCAGGTGCTCCATGTTGGCAGAGGGGACACTAGGGTCCTCCCACTTCCACCCAACAACTGGCCCCTGCCCTTCCTGCCCCTTCTAACCATGGCTGGCTGTAGCCCTCACCGGTACACCAGTGCCAGGATGTTGAGCATGGTGGCCACGTCCGGGTGGCAGTGGCCTGAGCTCCTCTCCAGGTCCTCTAAGGCCTGGCGGCACAGAGGCACAGCAACCTCATAGCGGCCCTGCCCCGCGTACTGGATCACGAGGTTGTGCAGGGTCCGAAGGCGGGCTGGGATCTCGTAGCCGCCCTGCTGAGCTGCAGCCGCCCCCGCTGCCTCTGGACCTGGGTAAGGGGAACGCCTTGTCACTGTAGGCCTCCTGCTCCTCCAGCCTCACATGCAGGGACACACACCCCAGAACTGCCTCGCTGCCCAGTTGGCCCCTGGAATTACGCCCCCCCCCCACCACTGCCTTCTGGGCCTGGGTTCACTGGCCAGCAGGATGTGTCCTGGCCTGGGGATGTGACCACGGCTGCCCAACTGCCCCATGGGATGTGGATACGAGAGCCTGCCTGGCTCATGCTGTGGCCACACAGCCTGCCCAGCTTTGCAGTTCCCAGCCTCACCTGCCCACTCTCACCCCCACACCCACTTCATCCTCCTGACCCTGCCTTCACCTCCCCATCCCCTGCTCAGAGAACTTGGGGTCCAGCAGATCAAAGCTGTCTCCCCAGTCCGTCGTCTTCCAGGGCTGTGCTCGCCGCGGTCATGCATGCACTCCCCCTCACCCACCTTTCCTCTCCTCCTCCTCACTGGGGAACAGTGAGGCCAGGCTGTCTCGGCGAGGGGGAGACTCAGGCTGCTGCAGGGAAGACAGGAAAATGGGGAGTCATGTGGGTTGGGGGCTTGTTTCAGAGGCTGGGGCCCTGAATCTTAGGTTTTGAGGGAGGTGGTGATCAGGAGCCTCAAGGGTCTTCTGGAGGGTTGGGAGGATCTTGTAGCTTTGTGGAGCAGCTAGGGGGGATTCTGTGTATGTTCTGATGGGTCTGGGCATTTGGGGGCACCACCTAAGGTTGGGGGCTTTGGGGTTCTAAGGAGGGCCTGGGGGACTTCCGGGCTCTGTGAAGGGCCCAATGCTCCTGCATTGGCCTGCCCCACAGCACCTGGCTCTCCATGGGTGGGTCATACTGCCGCAGCTGCCCCAGGAATTCAAGGTGGTTCTTCTCCTCCTCCAGCTGGGCCACAGCCTCCTCGCTGGCCCGCAGCCGCCGCTGTGTCTCTTCCAGCTCCTCCCGCAGCCAGGCATTCTCCTGGGCCAGCCGCCGGGTCTGTGCTCGCAGCCGCTGCTTCTCAGCCTCCAGAGCGCCCACGTGCGCCGACAGAGCCAGCAGCACCTGTCGGGGTGGGGGTCCTGAGTCATGAGGGAGGTGGGTTCCTACCCTGCCAAACAGCCCCTGACCCAGCCCAGGCCTCACATCAGGACAGAGCACTCCCATTCTATCCAGGATTCCCCAGATTCTGCAGAGACCCCACCAATGTGGCTCCCCAGGAACCACGATTCTGCTCAGGAACCGTGATTCTGCTCAAAACCCCCTTCTGGATCAGAGGTCCCTGTCATACATGAGGACCCCCATAATGCTGCCCCATCTCTGACCTTGAGCCTCCCTTTCCCAGGCCTGGTTCCCCTAGGCTCCCCCGGCCCCAGGCTTGCCCGTCTGCAATACTGGACACAAATAACTGCCTTTGCTCATTCCCAGGCTGACCCTGCCCCCTGCACACCTGTCCCTCTCATACCTGGGCCTTCCTGCCACCCACCAGGCCGAAGCCTCACTCCCCCACAGGGCCCCTGCATACCTGGGCCTCTCCCAGCCCCAGCTCGATGGCCTCCAGCGAGTGGCTCACCACCTGCTGCTTTTCTTCCAGGAGCTCCAAGCCAGTCACTGGGCCCTGTCCCACCAGGGCCTCCGCCAGGTGCCCGGCCAGACCATGGTGCTCCACCCGCAGGGCCTCCAGCCCTTGCACCACTTGCCTCGTCTGCCGCACCAGCTCCTCAGGGCTCAGGCGCTCTGGGCCCAGCTCTGTGCTTCCAGGGGCTGCCACCTGCACAGACATGGCTGCTCCTGAGGGCAGCGGTGGGGATTGGAGACTCATTGCCAGGGCCAGACAAGCCAGCCCCTAGCCTCCATGCCCATCCTGGCCAGCAGGAACCCTCAACCTCTCCCCATGTCGGCTCTCCCCCATCCACCTACCCTGGCCATGCCCTTCCCTGACCCGCCCATCTTCCCACCCCTCCCTGCCCCTGTCTCTACACCCATCCTCGCCAGCCCCTCCCTGACCCATCCATTTCCCCCTGCTTCCCTGCCTCCGTGCCGTCCCCATCCCAGCAAGCCCTCATCTGGGAACATTCTGGTCTACCTTTGTCTGTTCCCTAAGCCCAGGGCTCTGCTCTGAGGACAACTCCAAAATCCTATTATGTGTAATTAACCAAGGGAGGGCAAACAGCTGGCTTGTGGTCCCCCTATCTGCCCTCAGCTCACCTGGCCAGCCCTCCCTACCCAGGGACTCCAGATACCCTGGCCCAGAGCTCCCAGTCAGCCGTGTGACCTGGGACCAGAGGCGCCCTCCTCTGCTGGGTGTGTGGGGCGGGGCATGTGGAGGCGGCAGCCTCCCCGTGAGCTCATTCTTAGGGTGTTTTTGTTGGGAACCAGTCAGACCACTGGGGTGGGGTGGGGTGGGGTGGGGTGGGAGGAGAGGGCCAGGGGATAGGGCTCCGGAAGCAGAGGAGGCCTCTAGGTTTGGGGGGGCAAGCAAGGAGGGGGCCCACGTATTGGCTCCTGGGGCTTGACAGACCTGGAGGGAACAGGGGTTCCGCCCTCCACCACAGACAGGCTTAGCCAGCCCAGGGCCTGTTGGGAAACACTGGCCCATGGATGTCACACTGGTCTTGTGACAGCTGAGGTCTGAAGCCCAGATAGTAATGGGTGGGGTTCCACACGTGGAACTTCATGTGGTTGTATGTGGGTGACAAGGACACAGACATTTAGCTGATGGTGCCTCTGGGATCCTCATAGACACACACACAGATACACTCCTCAGAAACACACTTCAGCACACATACACACCCTCCCTTCTTTTTTTTAAAAAAGATGACTGGTAAGGGGATCTTAACCCTTGACTTGGTGTTGTCAGCACCACGCTCTCCCAAGTGAGCCAACCGGCCACCCCTATATAGGGATCCAAACCTGTGGCCTTGGTGTTATCAGCACCGCACTCTCCCGAGTGAGCCACGGGCCGGCCCTACACCCTCCCTTCTTTTTTTTTTTTTTTTTTTCCTTTTTTTTTTTTTTTTTTTTTTTTTTTT